AATTTGTTCTTTATGTTCATTAGAAGGTTGAATCTCCATGTTAATATCGACATATCACGTTATAAAGTCTCTTACATTCTAGATTACAAGAATTATTCAATCTTACTAAATATTATTTAAATATTCAAATCTTAAAATTGAACATAAATGTGCAGATTTTCAATAGCTTTTTCAAATGAAAGTTTATTTATTCAGGTACGTACAACATAAATATACAATCATCTATAGGCTACGTATCAACAATATGCCAATACTATTAAATATACTTGTATTTTTGAAAATTTTAGCACGATTCATACAGTCATAAATACGTTCTTATTCTTACATTTATGCGTAATAATTATCATACATGGCTGAATTAATTTGTGCGATATATACTATGAAACAGGTGCATACATAAAAAAAAAAAACTAACAATTTAAATTTTCAAAAAGCGAGCATAATAACGTCTTAAAAAGCAATAACATTTGCAATCCATTGGATAACACAAATATATTGGTATAATTTGCTATACAATAACATAGTATTATATCGATATGTATTATTCATTGCAAATTTTCAAAATCTAAAGAGAATACGATCAAAAAATCAATCTTGTGGCTGAATGGTGACCTACGAGACAATTCGGGAAAGATGTAACTCGAAAAGGTCTCAACTTTAATTTCAAAAATGCAGCAGGATATTCTTGTATTTCTCTTGATTTATGATGATTTTACATGTATTGGTTTCATTTGACTTGATGCATGATTGTATCCCTCTACGTGGAAGAACCAAGATTCGTAAATTCGTAAAATTATAGATGAGACCCCAAAAATTAAATCGTATGTGCTTAAAAAAAAAAAACAGTTCATTATTAGTCATTTTTAATATTGTTACACCTCTAAATCGTATAATTTTCATTTGTTTTTCTGGGTATTTTTTTTGAGCTTAAATTCAGGTAACTACCCTCCTGAACCATTAGTCATTTAGGACTTATTGTTCCCTAAAAAATTTTTTTGCGCCCTGACGAAAAAAAAGGACCAACTTATTTAGCCCCATTAAGAAAGATGTACATTTGTTTAACATTGATTTACATAATTGATGAATCACATTGTGTGTACGGATATTGCCCAAGTGTAAAATAATTCGTATATATACGTATAATAGAAGCATGATTAACATCTTTTCTTAAATAATATATACTCTCAAAATTCTAATTTTTTTTCCTTTTTTTTTTTTTTTTTTTTAGCTATTTAGTTAATTACTCTTTATACTAAGTAAATATGGCATTAAATAAGTCTTTAAAAACTGGTCATTTATATTCTGGGAGTGATGGTAATAATTCAACAATTAATGATAATATGGATACTGATGAGATTCATACATCAAAAACGACTATTAAAGAATCTAAAATGAAATTTAAGACGGTAAGATTTAGGATAAAATATTTAGAAATGCCTATAAACATCTAATTGATATTAAAAATTAAAGTAATTCAAAATTTTTAATTCTTATTAAAAATTAACTTTGACATGTGTCACCGTAATTTATAGATAGGTCAGGTTATTCGTAAAGTTGTTGAAAATGATGTTAAACGAGCGGAAAAATCTTTAAAGGCTCTTTGTGATGTAATGCCTCCACAGTTGCGTTTAATAATGAACGGTTCTTCTATTAGTGAAGTATTCGGTGATGTTAACATGGAGATTCAACCTTCTAATGAACATAAAGAACAAATTATGAAAGAATCCCATAATTTTGATTCTTCTACAAGTGAGAAAAATGCAAATAAGGAGATAAATTGTACTCAGGAATCAAATGATTTATGGCAAAATAATATAAATCATTTAAATCATCAGGATAAAGATAATCAAGTTAACATAGATGAAGAGAAAATTAACGAACAAGAACTCTCAACAAAATCTATGCAACTTGATGATAATACTCAATCTGAGAAAAATAAATCTATAGAACCGACGAATAATGAAACTCCTTCCACTACGATTTCTTCTTCAAACAAACGAAAATCTACACAACCTAGGAAATTTATCATCGAACATCATGAAACTGAAAGCAGAATTATTCGAAAAAGAGCTCGTCCTCACACTAAAAAAAGAAAAGGTATCGCTTCGGGTGATGAATCAGAAAATATACAAGCTGAAATCTCAGAAGCTTCTATATATTCGGTTGACGATCGAGATCAAGTTAGTCAGCAGAACACTGAAGAGTCATCAGAAGATGAATCGATCTCTTCTTATAAACATGTAAAATTGACAGTTGCACCTTCAATAACAGAAAATCATGATGTTCGTAAACAGAAAGGACGTCGTTATTCGACCAGAAAGATAGCAAATCCAATCGCCCAAAAAGGAAAAAATTCCACCAATCCTTCTATAAATTCTGATCAAGTCAATATGTCACAACAAAATGGGTTGAGAACATTTATGAAAGCAGCAAGAAAATTTGCGGCACCTGTACCTAAACCTGCACCTGTAAAACCACAACGACCTTTAGGTTCATTTGGATATTTTCGTAAAGAGATGTTCGATAATAGAGATTCCATGTTAATTGGCCTTCCTTGGAGAGAATGTATAAAAATCGTTGCTCAACGTTGGAACTCATTAAGTGAAGAGGATAAAGAGGTGCATTATTTATTTTTTTAAATTTATATTTTTATCAAAATTTTATTCGCCAAAATTACTTATGAATTTGATTTATCAAAACTTTTAAGCCTTATAATGAACTTCAACGTATTGCGAGCAAAAGATTTAAAATTGAGAATCGTGTATACCTTGACTATTTAAAGGAACATGGACTAGCGGAAGAGAAGAGAAGTAGTAAATTTTCCGAAAAAAACGTTAACAGACGTACAGATGAAAGTAAAAAGAAAAATACTTTAGATGACTCTGATATTAGGGTACCACGTAAAGTCTCAAATAATTCTTTGAACAAATCGTCGACAATCTCAGGGTCAAAAACTTCTGCGAATAAAAATACTATTCGCGTTGGCGCAGCAAATCATGCTCGTAGAACTGGTGCGACTAAAAATATTCGCGCTGGCGCAGCAAATCATTCTCGTAAACCTGGCGTAACTAAAATTTTTATACCTTTTGTTCGCAAAGACTAAACTTAATTGTGAGAAACAACAATCGGACAATACTTTAATAAATATCCTGCGGAAAACATTTGCACTATGAATCAAATCAGTTTAATCACTGATATCTTGATAATTTCGATACTAAAGTAAAACATTTACGTAAGTCAAAAAGTACATAAATAATTTCATAAAAACATTCATTTTGGTTGGTAACGCGTAGAAAGGATGTAATAATAAAATATGGATAATATTATAGTTCTAAAAAAAAAAATTAGATTATACCTTTCTATTTAGTTGGATTTCAATATATATTTTTAGAAACTTGGCAACTTATTTGAGTTTCTTTACATCGGCTACATGATTTTTTTGAGAGGGTTGTACATACGGTGTAATATGGATTGATACGGTGTGTTATAAAAAAAATTTTTAAATAATTTCCTTTTTTTGCTTAAAAAAAAAAAAAAAAAAGTTAGAACTATTTCTAATTATATATGTAAATAATATATTCTAAACCTTATACATCTAGTTGAGAATTTTTATTTCCTTGTTATAGAATATTACTTTTAATAAGATGAAATATGGTACATATTGTACTAATTACTATAGTCTAAAAAAAATTTGAATTTTATAGACTGTGGGAGCTGATAGGGTTAAAATTTTTTAAATAATCACGAAAAAATTCAAAATTGGTTGTAAAAAAAGACGGTTTAATGTTTAATAATAAAAAAAACTTTTTTTTTAAAAATAAAATAGCGGATACAACTTGGAAGAAATATCCAGTTAATTAATTTCAATACAGTACATAAGATATAAAGACAATTCTTTTAATTCATGTTAAATTTCATTATATAACGATAACAAACGGTTAACTCATTTAAGTTCCAAACTGAGCAATTCATTACATAAAACTAGTTTGAAACCCGTTTAATGTTAATGGTTAACTAACGTTAGTTTGTTTACTAATTTTTAATAAATATAAAAATGTATCTTTTACATCCCCAGATGATACAACATATGGGCCTCTACAGCATAAGGTGGCAATGGGCCAAAAATTTTTATTTTGTAATTTTGTAAAAATTACATGCCAATTACTCTTATTCTTCAAGAAATTGCATTTAAAAAAAAAAAAATTTTTTTGGCCGATTGCCACCTTTTGCTGTAGAGGTTTCCATATATAAGATACAAATTTATTGATCGGTTCAAATCAAATAACTAGATTATCTGTTCTCAAATGACTTCCTCATTTCGATTAATTGGTGTTTATAACAATTTGCCGAAAATTCATAATTTTAGCCAGGGAAATTTTTCAGGTTCAATTTTTTTGCAACCGATGCTTTTGAATAACTGTACTGTACTCGCTTGGGTTTAACCCCCAACCCTGGCGTATAATACTACCACATCTCAAGATGAAAGGGATTTCAAAATCTTCAAAATATCAATCACTACATGAACTCCCTCAATGGGTAGTTGCCATTTGGTATATGTTTATCCGAGTTAAATAACATTTTTTTTAGCACCATAGTAAAATACTCCATTTTTGATAGTATATATACTCATTTTAACTCAATTTTGATACATATCTGAAGATAATTTATCAATTTATACATACAGTAATGTGTAAATACGGATTGTCGTGCTATCATGAGAAAATTTATGCAGTCGACCCTCCATAAGTGTACTTCACATGCATATTTTCTCTATCCGCTAAGATTTGGTTTAATGTAATTTATTCTAATATAATTTATGTAACATTATATACATTAAATATAAATTGCATTTTACTAGTGTACTTTTTTTCTACAACATGTACTTATACGTAGCGGTATTGAACTCCATAGTTGCTATACTTCAAAAATTGTTTAAAATTTTCGAAAATCTTGAGCTAACTAAAATTTAAATCTTTTATATCTAATCTTTATCCTATTCTATAACTGCATCTTTTAATAAAAAAAAATATAAATAAGTTAGTTGCTATCTCTACTTTGTATATACAATATATATATATATATATATAGTCAACTCTTTCTATACCGAACCCTTGGTTCTGGCCAAAAAAAAAGTTCGTTATACAGTATTACTATGTTTTCTTAAGAGCCGTAGCTCTTGTTATACCGAATTAATATTAAAATTTAAAAATTTTAAGTTCGTTATATCCAGAGTTCGTTATAAAAAGGTTCGTTATATACAGAGTTGACTGTATAAGTTTCGAATAATCATTAGGTGGCTTAGTTATATAAATAGACAAATATATGCTATAATATGTGTTAATAATTAAATAAAAGATAGTATATTCTATTAAAGAATAAGATTATAGTTTAAATAAATGATAAAGTGTAAAGTGTCATAAATGAAAAAATTGATCTAAATTAGCCAATCTTAAATATATTATAATACATGTACTGGCATTATTTGGATATACTGTAACAAAAAATAATAGTAGGCATTTGGGCACTAGTATTTTGCTCGCATAGTGTCAACAGTACCCAGTATAGTAACAACAGTGCCTTGCATAGTGCCAATTATGCCTGGCATATTTACTTGCAGAACCCTAGTTATTATCTTTAACTCTATAATAGTTTGCAAATATATTCTTTCTAAACCAAAATTTTTTAGTATTTAATGCATCTTTCTTATAAGCAATAGTCATATATTCATCTACCTAGTTAATAAATATTTAATTATCATTACTTTAAATAGTAAGAGCAATTAATTAATATATCTTTGAGATTGGCATATAAAAAGTTAGATTATAACTAAGAATAGTAAGAGTTAAAAGTATCATAAAAGTTACAAATATAGCATTTTCAATATTAGTTATTTGAACTTTCATGCAACAATATTCTACCTGCCAACTAATATTTAAGTCTAATGGTGGAGGTTTGAGATATACTGATTGCTAGTTTGTTGAATGAATATTCTATATAAATGTTTTATTAGTAATATTAAAGCTTAATATTTTATTATTGCTATAATACAACTTCAAAATAATTTGATGACAATTCATCATCTTGATACAATGAATCTTCAAAAACAAAAAGAGGATTATGAATAAATAAATAAGTTATATGGTATGCCAAAAGATTATTAACTCCTAAATAATAATTGTTATATAATTAATTACATATATATATACATAGCACATGAACTTTATAGCTATTAACAATTTTTACATTTATATTAATAGAAAATTATAAGTATAGACATACTATTATTTATTAATTTTTTATAAATATTTCAATTATATACTGAATTTTGATCATTATACTCTGACTTTAGAGTTTTGTCAAGTAATATATAATAAGTAATTGTATTCTAGTATGACCTATTTATTACAAGTCAATCATTTTTGAGAGAATATTGTAAAAATAAATATATATTAATAGCACATTATTGGTTAAATTTTAGAACAGATTTTATAGAATTAAAATAATATATAAATTATATAAATAAGCAAAAATCTATCTTCTAAACTCTATTCTTCTTTTGTATGATCATCAGCACATATCTTAAGTACAAATAAAGTAGCTATACAATATTGTCATGCAAAACCAGAAATAGAAATTTTTTTTTACATATTGGTTAGACAGTGATTATATTTCAAATGATCTATTATATGTCTTTTATTTTTTGATTATTTATCTATAGTAGTCATATATTTTTTTTCAAAGGTTTTAAATAAATAAAATAAAAAGCAATAAAGCTGTCAGAAAATAAAATAAAATAAAATAAATAAAAATATATTTTAAAAAAAATTAATATATTACTAAATTGTATTGTATTAAAAGTACATTACATTTTAATCAGTACAAACTTCAAAGCTCTCTATATATATACTGTATATATGTACTTTGTGAAAATGAGATTAATAAAATAATAAAGTTGCTAAATACATAATCTTGTATATTCAACTCATATGATACTTATAGATTTTTACCTCTCTAAATACAATACCTCTTTAAATACAGTATTTTTTAACCACTTAAGGCTATGCATTTAGAGATGTCTAACTATACTATATAAATTATCAATATACAAACAATAAACAAATTAAGTATAACTGTAATAAATATCAAGATATAACTTGTGCTTGCTCATAATATCATATTTGTATAAATGATATTTAACATATTAAGCAACTTTTATAGATCTTTTTTTTTTTTTTTTTTTTTTTTTTTTTTTTTATTGCCAAATTGCCGTGACAGGCAAACTTTATTAGGAGTAACATTAAATGTTATTATATTTTTATATTGTTACATGCTGCAGTACATTTCTAAATCTATGAGAGTACATCAAGCCACACGTGCACCTTTTGGATACCTATTTAAGTAGTCCACCTGAAGGTTCTACACTAGATGTTGTACTTATAACCCAACTAGGAAGTTACCTATTTAAACTCTCTGATATCTCTATTCTTGTACTGTCCTATTTGGTTCAAACTGTCTCCTTTTGTGCTGCACAAAGGCCATCCAGGCTGGTATTCCTCCACTGTCTTTACCTCTTTATAGATAAACCTTTCGAATCTAATTAACCGGTATTTACCTGAGAAAGGGTGCAGTAAATGCCTCCTAAATCATTCTAAATCCTACACATTTCTAAATTTGGTTTAGAGATACTGTGCTATAGCTTTACTCATATACTAGCGAGCCTAGTTACCCAAGCCACACATATTCTCTGCCCTTGTAAGGTTCATTTCTACTCTAGTACCCACATTTGAACTTTTTTTTTCCTGGATTCTTTACTGGTCTCTCTCTTGTTTCTAGCTGGCAACCCAGAAAGGTTGGTCTGCCCAGGCTTTAGATACCTTATGGTCTCCCTTCCCTTGGTATATACTTCCAGAGCACATGTCCTTTTCCTTCAGTTGGTGATCTGGCAGTTCAGCTAGTGTGTCCTCCCACTTAAGAACCTGGTCACTCAGTTCTCTGGTCTTGGTTTTCAGTTCTGAATTCAGTCTTCCTGTGGCACTGTCAAAAGTTTCACTACTCTTATTTGGGTCTTTCCAAATGGGTTTTGATCATTACAGTTTCTTGGCA